AGAATCCACTGATGTTTTAATTCAAGCAACGTGTCAATTCCATGTCAGGATGGCCGAGCGGTCTAAGGCGCTGCGTTCAGGTCGCAGTCTCCCTGGAGGCGTGGGTTCTAATCCCACTTCTGACAGTTTTTGAGTAAACCTAATGAAGCGCCTCAATACGGGCCACTATTTTTACATTGTGATTCGAAGGGGATATAGAGAGTGAGTTGTCCTGTGTCAATCTCACGTTTAGACTTGTGCGACTCACATTGACCAGATATTACGCAAGAGGTGGTTGAATTATGGCCAGTTTTCACATTACACCTCTTAATCGATCAAACAACTGGGCTCAATTGGCCGGCCATCAGCGGTCTAAAGCGCTGCATTCAGGTAGCAGTCTCCCCTGGAGGCGTGGGTTCGAATCCCACTTCTGACAGTGTTTGAGAAAACCTAATAAACTGCCTCAATTCGGGCCAATTTTTTTACATTGTGATTCGGAAGGGATCTAAAGAGTGTCTTCCTGTGTCAATCTCACATTGCCCAGATATTCCGCAAGAGGTGGCCGAATTACGGCCAGTTTTCACATTACAATTGCGACTTGGCTGTGGTAAAGAGTGTGTCTTCCTGTGTCAATCTCACATTGACCAGTTTTTTCTACAAGAGGTGGCCAAATTACGGCCAATTTTCACATTACAACTGCGACTTGGCTGCGTTCAGATCACAGTTGGTTCGAATCCCACTTCTGACAGAGGTTTTGAGTAAACCTAATGAAGTGCCTCAATTCGGGCCTCTATTTTTACATTGTGATTTCGACTCCCGGCCACAATGTGACGGAAGCTGCATTCGCCGGGGAATCGGAACCGGCCACCCTCACTACAGAAGAGAACTCTACCACTAAGTGTGCTAAAGCAGATGCTGCATTGGCCGGGAATCGAACCCGGGCCTCCCGCGTGGCAGGCGAGAATTCTACCACTGAACCACCAATGCCTGTTTCTACAGGTGTTTTGGATCCCGTCATGTCTCAACCTCATATTTAAAATTGTAGGACTGAAAGTATTTGCTCATGACGAGGAATGCTCAATTTGTTTGTGTTCCTCGTTAGTATAGTGGTCAGTATCCCCGCCTGTCACGTGGGAGAGGGGTTCAATTCCCCGACGGGGAGAAGAGGGATTTTGCTGACACTCCCCAACACAATCAATGGCACATTACACTTGGACAACACGGCATCTGTGCAGAAGAAGCCACTGATGTTTTAATTCAAGCCAACGATCAACTCTGGTGAACTTGTAAATTCCATGTCAGGATGGCCGAGCGGTCTAAGGCGCTGCGTTCAGGTCGCAGTCCCCTGGAGGCGTGGGTTCGAATCCCACTTCTGACAGTTTTTGAGTAAACCTAATGAAGCGCCTCAATTCGGGCCACTATTTTTACATTGTGATTCGAAGGGGATATAGAGAGTGAGTTGTCCTGTGTCAATCTCACGTTTAGACTTGTGCGACTCACATTTACCAGATATTACGTAAGAGGTGGCCAAATTACGGCCAATTTTCACATTAAAACTGCGACTTGGCTGCGTTCCGATCGCAGTCTCCCTTGGAGGACTTGGTTCGAATCCCACTTGTGACAGAGGTTTTGAGTAAACCTAATGAAGTGCCTCAATTCAGGCCAATTTTTTTACATTGTGATTCGGAAGGGATCTAAATAGCGTCTTCCTGTGTCAATCTCACATTGACCAGATATTCCGCAAGAGGTGGCCGAATTATGGCCAGTTTTCACATTACAACTGCGACTTGGCTGCGTTAAAGAGTGTGTTCCTGTGGCAATCTCACATTGACCAGATATTCCGCAAGAGGTGGCCGAATTACACATTACAACTGCGACTTGGCTGCGTTCAGATTGCAGTCTCCATTGGAGGACTTGGTTCGAATCCCACTTCTGACAGAGGTTTTGAGTAAACCTAATGAAGTGCCTCAATTCGGGCCACTATTTTTACATTGTGATTCCAATTCCCGGCCACATTGTGACGGAAGCTGCATTGGCCTCCCTCGGTACAGAAGAGAATTCTACCACTAAGTGTGCTAAAGTGTATGCTGCATCGAACCCGGGCCACCCGCGTGGCAGGCGAGAATTCTACCACTGAACCACCAATGCCTTTTTTCGCTGGTGTTTTGGATCCCGTCATGTCTCAACCTCATATTTAAAATTGTAGGACTGAAAGTATTTGATCGTGACGAGGAATGTTCAATGCACTTGTGTTCCTCGTTAGTATAGTGGTCAGTATCCCCGCCTGTCACGCGGGAGACCGGGGTTCAATTCCCCGACGGGGAGGAGAGGGTTTTTTACTGACACTCCCCAACACAATCAATGGCACATTATACTTGGACAACACGGCATCTGTGCAGAAGAAGCCACTGATGTATTAATTCAAGCCATTGATCAACTCTGGTGAACGTGTAAATTTCATGTCAGGATGTCCGAGCGGTCTAAGGCGCTGCGTTCAGGTCGCAGTCTCCCCTTGAGGCGTGGGTTCGAATCCCGCTTCTGACAGTTTTTGAGTAAACCTAATGAAGCGCCTCAATTCGGGCCACTATTTTTACATTGTGATTCCAATTCCCGGCCACATTGTGACGGAAGCTGCATTGGCCGGCCTCCCTCGGTACAGAAGAGAATTCTACCACTAAGTGTGCTAAAGTGTGCTGCATTGGCCGGGAATCGAACCCGGGCCTCCCGCGTGGCAGGCGAGAATTCTACCACTGAACCACCAATGCCTGTTTCTACAGGTGTTTTGGATCCCGTCATGTCTCAACCTCATATTTAAAATTGTAGGACTGAAAGTATTTGCTCATGACGAGGAATGCTCAATTAGTTTGTGTTCCTCGTTAGTATAGTGGTCAGTATCCCCGCCTGTCACGGGGAGACCGGGTTCAATTCCCCGACGGGGAGAAGAGGGAGTTTGCTGACACTCCCCAACACAATCAATGGCACATTATACTTGGACAACGCGGCGTCTGTGCAGAAGAAGCCACTGATGTTTTTATTGGTTTTAATTCAAGCCAACGGTCAACTCTGGTAAAGGTGCAAATTCCATGTCAGGATGGCCGAGCGGTCTAAGGCGCTGCGTTTAGGTCGCAGTCTCCCCTGGAGGCGTGGGTTCGAATCCCACTTCTGACAGTTTAAGCAAACCTAATGAAGTGCCTCAATTCGGGCCAATTTTATTACATTGTGATTCGAAAGGGATCTAAAGAGTGTCTTCCTGTGTCAATCTCACATTGACCAGATATTCCGCAAGAGGTGGCCGAATTACGGCCAGTTTTCACATTACAATTGCGACTTGGCTGTGGTAAAGAGTGTGTCTTCCTGTGTCAATCTCACATTGACCAGATATTCCGCAAGAGGTGGCCAAATTACGGCCAATTTTCACATTAAAACTGCGACTTGGCTGCGTTCCGATCGCAGTCTCCCTTGGAGGACTTGGTTCGAATCCCACTTGTGACAGAGGTTTTGAGTAAACCTAATGAAGTGCCTCAATTCGGGCCAATTTTTTTACATTGTGATTCGGAAGGGATCTAAATAGCGTCTTCCTGTGTCAATCTCACATTGACCAGATATTCCGCAAGAGGTGGCCGAATTATGGCCAGTTTTCACATTACAACTGCGACTTGGCTGCGTTAAAGAGTGTGTCTTCCTGTGGCAATCTCACATTGACCAGATATTCCGCAAGAGGTGGCCAAATTACACATTACAACTGCGACTTGGCTGCGTTCAGATTGCAGTCTCCATTGGAGGACTTGGTTCGAATCCCACTTCTGACAGAGGTTTTGAGTAAACCTAATGAAGTGCCTCAATTCGGGCCACTATTTTTACATTGTGATTCCAATTCCCGGCCACATTGTGACGGAAGCTGCATTGGCCGGCCTCCCTCGGTACTGGAATGTTCAATGCACTTGAGTTCCTCGTTAGTTATAGTGGTCAGTATCCCCGCCTGTCAGCGGGAGACCGGGGGTTCAATTCCCCCGACGGGGAGAAGAGGGATTTTGCTGACACTCCCCAACACAATCAATGGCACATTATACTTGGACAACACGGCATCTGTGCAGAAGAATCCAATGATGTTTTAATTCAAGCCAACGATCAACTCTGGTGAACGTGTCAATTCATGTCAGGATGGCCGAGCGGTCTACAGGCGCTGCGTTCAGGTCGCGTAGTCTCCCCTGGAGGCGTAGGGTTCTAATCCCACTTCTGACAGTTTTTGAGTAAACCTAATGAAGCGCCTCAATACGGGCCACTATTTTTACATTTGTGATTCGAAGGGGATATAGAGAGTGAGTTGTCCTGTGTCAATCTCACGTTTAGACTTGTGCGACTCACATTGACCAGATATTACGCAAGAGGTGGTTGAATTATGGCCCAGTTTTCCACATTACACCTCTTAATCGATGAAACAACTGGGCTCAATTGGCCGGCCCATCAGCGGTCTAAAGCGCTGCATTCAGGTAGCAGTCTCTCCCCTGGAGGCGTGGGTCGAATCCCACTTCTGACAGTGTTTGAGAAAACCTAATAAACTGCCTCAATTCGGGCCAATTTTTTTACATTGTGATTCGGAAGGGACTAAAAGAGTGTCTTCCTGTGTCAATCTCACATTGCCCAGATATTCCGCAAGAGGTGGCCGAATTACGGCCAGTTTTTCACATTACAATTGCGACTTGGCTGTGGTAAAGAGTGTGTCTTCCTGTGTCAATCTCACATTGACCAGTTTTTTTCTACAAGAGGTGGCCAAATTACGGCCAATTTTCACATTACAACTGCGACTTGGCTGCGTTCAGATCACAGTTGGTTCGAATCCCACTTCTGACAGAGGTTTTGAGTAAACCTAATGAAGTGCCTCAATTCGGGCCTCTATTTTTACATTGTGATTTCGACTCCCGGCCACAATGTGACGGAAGCTGCATTCGCCGGGGAATCGGAACCGGCCACCCTCACTACAGAAGAGAACTCTACCACTAAGGGTGTGCTAAAGGAGATGCTGCATTGGCCGGGAAATCGAACCCGGCCTCCCAGCGTGGCAGGCGGAGAATTCTACCACTGAACCACACCAATGCCTGTTTTCTACATGTGTTTTGGATCCCCGTCATGTCTCAACTCATATTTAAAATTGTAGGACTGAAAGTATTTGCTCATGACGAGGAATGCTCAATTTGTGCTTGTGTTCTCGTTAGTATAGTGGTCAGTATCCCCCGCCTGTCACGCGGGAGACCGGGGTTCAATTCCCCGACGGGGAGAAGCAGGGGATTTTGCTGACACTCCCCAACACAATCAATGGCACATTACACTAGACAACACGGCATCTGTGCAGAAGAAGCCACTGATGTTTTAATTCAAGCCAACGATCAACTCTGGTGAACTTGTAAATTCCATGTCAGGATGGGCCGAGCGGTCTAAGGCGCTGCGTTCAGGTCGCAGTCTCCCCTGGAGGCGTGGGTTCGAATCCCCACTTCTGACAGTTTTTGAGTAAACCTAATGAAGCGCCTCAATTCGGGCCACTATTTTTACATTGTGATTCGAAGGGGATATAGAGAGTGAGTTGTCCTGTGTCAATCTCACGTTTAGACTTGTGCGACTCACATTTACCAGATTATTACGTAAGAGGTGGCCAAATTACGGCCAATTTTCACATTAAAACTGCGACTTGGCTGCGTTCCCGATCGCAGTCTCCCTTGGAGGACTTGGTTCGAATCCCACTTGTGACAGAGGTTTTGAGTAAACCTAATGAAGTGCCTCAATTCAGGCCAATTTTTTTACATTGTGATTCGGAAGGGATCTAAATAGCGTCTTCCTGTGTCAATCTCACATTGACCAGATATTCCGCAAGAGGGTGGCCGAATTATGGCCAGTTTTCACATTACAACTGCGACTTGGCTGCGTTAAAGAGTGTGTCTTCCTGTGGCAATCTCACATTGACCAGATATTCCGCAAGAGGTGGCCGAATTACACATTACAACTGCGACTTGGCTGCGTTCAGATTGCAGTCTCCATTGGAGGACTTGGTTCGAATCCCACTTGTGACAGAGGTTTTGAGTAAACCTAATGAAGTGCCTCAATTCGGGCCACTATTTTTACATTGTGATTCCAATTCCCGGCCACATTGTGACGGAAGCTGCATTGGGCCGGCCTCCCTCGGTACAGAAGAGAATTCTACCACTAAGTGTGCTAAAGTGTATGCTGCATTGGCCGGGAATCGAACCCGGGCCTCCCGCGTGGCAGGCGAGAATTCTACCACTGAACCACCAATGCCTGTTTCTACAGGTGTTTTGGATCCCGTCATGTCTCAACCTCATATTTAAAATTGTAGGACTGAAAGTATTTGCTCATGACGAGGAATGCTCAATTTGTTTGTGTTCCTCGTTAGTATAGTGGTCAGTATCCCCGCCTGTCACGCGGGAGACCGGGGTTCAATTCCCCGACGGGGAGAAGAGGGATTTTGCTGACACTCCCCAACACAATCAATGGCACATTACACTTGGACAACACGGCATCTGTGCAGAAGAAGCCACTGATGTTTTAATTCAAGCCAACGATCAACTCTGGTGAACTTGTAAATTCCATGTCAGGATGGCCGAGCGGTCTAAGGCGCTGCGTTCAGGTCGCAGTCTCCCCTGGAGGCGTGGGTTCGAATCCCACTTCTGACAGTTTTTGAGTAAACCTAATGAAGCGCCTCAATTCGGGCCACTATTTTTACATTGTGATTCGAAGGGGATATAGAGAGTGAGTTGTCCTGTGTCAATCTCACGTTTAGACTTGTGCGACTCACATTGACCAGATATTACGCAAGAGGTGGTTGAATTATGGCCAGTTTTCACATTACACCTCTTAATCGATGAAACAACTGGGCTCAATTGGCCGGCCATCAGCGGTCTAAAGCGCTGCATTCAGGTAGCAGTCTCCCCTGGAGGCGTGGGTTCGAATCCCACTTCTGACAGTGTTTGAGAAAACCTAATAAACTGCCTCAATTCGGGCCAATTTTTTTACATTGTGATTCGGAAGGGATCTAAAGAGTGTCTTCCTGTGTCAATCTCACATTGCCCAGATATTCCTCAAGAGGTGGCCGAATTACGGCCAGTTTTCACATTACAATTGCGACTTGGCTGTGGTAAAGAGTGTGTCTTCCTGTGTCAATCTCACATTGACCAGTTTTTTCTACAAGAGGTGGCCAAATTACGGCCAATTTTCACATTACAACTGCGACTTGGCTGCGTTCAGATCACAGTTGGTTCGAATCCCACTTCTGACAGAGGTTTTGAGTAAACCTAATGAAGTGCCTCAATTCGGGCCTCTATTTTTTACATTGTGATTTCGACTCCCGGCCACAATGTGACGGAAGCTGCATTCGCCGGGGAATCGGAACCGGCCACCCTCACTACAGAAGAGAACTCTACCACTAAGTGTGCTAAAGCAGATGCTGCATTGGCCGGGAATCGAACCCGGGCCTCCCGCGTGGCAGGCGAGAATTCTACCACTGAACCACCAATGCCTGTTTCTACAGGTGTTTTGGATCCCGTCATGTCTCAACCTCATATTTAAAATTGTAGGACTGAAAGTATTTGCTCATGACGAGGAATGCTCAATTTGTTTGTGTTCCTCGTTAGTATAGTGGTCAGTATCCCCGCCTGTCACGCGGGAGACCGGGGTTCAATTCCCCGACGGGGAGAAGAGGGATTTTGCTGACACTCCCCAACACAATCAATGGCACATTACACTTGGACAACACGGCATCTGTGCAGAAGAAGCCACTGATGTTTTAATTCAAGCCAACGATCAACTCTGGTGAACTTGTAAATTCCATGTCAGGATGGCCGAGCGGTCTAAGGCGCTGCGTTCAGGTCGCAGTCTCCCCTGGAGGCGTGGGTTCGAATCCCACTTCTGACAGTTTTTGAGTAAACCTAATGAAGCGCCTCAATTCGGGCCACTATTTTTACATTGTGATTCGAAGGGGATATAGAGAGTGAGTTGTCCTGTGTCAATCTCACGTTTAGACTTGTGCGACTCACATTTACCAGATATTACGTAAGAGGTGGCCAAATTACGGCCAATTTTCACATTAAAACTGCGACTTGGCTGCGTTCCGATCGCAGTCTCCCTTGGAGGACTTGGTTCGAATCCCACTTGTGACAGAGGTTTTGAGTAAACCTAATGAAGTGCCTCAATTCAGGCCAATTTTTTTACATTGTGATTCGGAAGGGATCTAAATAGCGTCTTCCTGTGTCAATCTCACATTGACCAGATATTCCGCAAGAGGTGGCCGAATTATGGCCAGTTTTCACATTACAACTGCGACTTGGCTGCGTTAAAGAGTGTGTCTTCCTGTGGCAATCTCACATTGACCAGATATTCCGCAAGAGGTGGCCGAATTACACATTACAACTGCGACTTGGCTGCGTTCAGATTGCAGTCTCCATTGGAGGACTTGGTTCGAATCCCACTTCTGACAGAGGTTTTGAGTAAACCTAATGAAGTGCCTCAATTCGGGCCACTATTTTTACATTGTGATTCCAATTCCCGGCCACATTGTGACGGAAGCTGCATTGGCCGGCCTCCCTCGGTACAGAAGAGAATTCTACCACTAAGTGTGCTAAAGTGTATGCTGCATCGAACCCGGGCCACCCGCGTGGCAGGCGAGAATTCTACCACTGAACCACCAATGCCTTTTTTCGCTGGTGTTTTGGATCCCGTCATGTCTCAACCTCATATTTAAAATTGTAGGACTGAAAGTATTTGATCGTGACGAGGAATGTTCAATGCACTTGTGTTCCTCGTTAGTATAGTGGTCAGTATCCCCGCCTGTCACGCGGGAGACCGGGGTTCAATTCCCCGACGGGGAGGAGAGGGTTTTTTACTGACACTCCCCAACACAATCAATGGCACATTATACTTGGACAACACGGCATCTGTGCAGAAGAAGCCACTGATGTTTTAATTCAAGCCATTGATCAACTCTGGTGAACGTGTAAATTTCATGTCAGGATGTCCGAGCGGTCTAAGGCGCTGCGTTCAGGTCGCAGTCTCCCCTGGAGGCGTGGGTTCGAATCCCACTTCTGACAGTTTTTGAGTAAACCTAATGAAGCGCCTCAATTCGGGCCACTATTTTTACATTGTGATTCGAAGGGGATATAGAGAGTGAGTTGTCCTGTGTCAATCTCACGTTTAGACTTGTGCGACTCACATTGACCAGATATTCCGCAAGAGGTGGCCAAATTACGGCCAATTTTCACATTAAAATTGCGACTTGGCTGCGTTCCGATCGCAGTCTCCCTTGGAGGACTTGGTTCGAATCCCACTTGTGACAGAGGTTTTGAGTAAACCTAATGAAGTGCCTCAATTCGGGCCACTATTTTTACATTGTGATTCCAATTCCCGGCCACATTGTGACGGAAGCTGCATTGGCCGGCCTCCCTCGGTACAGAAGAGAATTCTACCACTAAGTGTGCTAAAGTGTATGCTGCATTGGCCGGGAATCGAACCCCGGCCTCCCGCATGGCAGGCGAGAATTCTACCACTGAACCACCAATGCCTGTTTCTACAGGTGTTTTGGATCCCGTCATGTCTCAACCTCATATTTAAAATTGTAGGACTGAAAGTATTTGCTCATGACGAGGAATGCTCAATTAGTTTGTGTTCCTCGTTAGTATAGTGGTCAGTATCCCCGCCTGTCACGCGGGAGACCGGGGTTCAATTCCCCGACGGGGAGAAGAGGGAGTTTGCTGACACTCCCCCAACACAATCAATGGCACATTATACTTGGACAACGCGGCGTCTGTGCAGAAGAAGCCACTGATGTTTTTATTGGTTTTAATTCAAGCCAACGGTCAACTCTGGTAAAGGTGCAAATTCCATGTCAGGATGGCCGAGCGGTCTAAGGCGCTGCGTTTAGGTCGCAGTCTCCCCTGGAGGCGTGGGTTCGAATCCCACTTCTGACAGTGCAAACCTAATGAAGTGCCTCAATTCGGGCCAATTTTATTACATTGTGATTCGAAAGGGATCTAAAGAGTGTCTTCCTGTGTCAATCTCACATTGACCAGATATTCCGCAAGAGGTGGCCGAATTA